CCCCAAAACCCCAAAACCCCAAAACCCCAAAACCCCATCTCCAAAATCTCTTCCTGCAATCACCATAAATAAATAAAATATGGCCAAGCGTCTACTAAGCCTTATGGTCTTGGCAGTCTTGGTTACTGCTGTTATGTGTAGGAAAGCCTATTTGAGTAAATTTAGGAGTTCTCCTGACTTGGATGTGGATAAATTTGTGCAGCTTTGGGATGATAATAGGGAGAAGATTGATCCTGTTATGCAAGGGCTGAAGGTGGTAGTGATAGGGTTGAGAGAGTGCTTGTTTCCGGTGAGAGAGGTGGTGAGGTTTGGGAGTGTGGTAGCATCGTTGGTGCTGGATATCTTTGGGTGTGACACTTTGAGATGAATAACTCCTGCGGTGATGTTAATCAAGTTCTTCTTTGAGTTTAGAAATTTTGCCAGAGATGTAATTACTGAGCTCTATTATGGGTATTTTAATCTCATGTTTTGGTATGCTAAGAAAGTATTTGGAGTCGTTAGCAAGGTAGTAAGACAAGAAGGCCTTGAGGTATATACAGAAAATTCAGATTGTATCCGTATGAGAATTGGTCAATATTTCATGCCTACTTTTAAAGGAAATGATACTTCTAATTGCTCTCAATTCGATGATATCATCATCAGTTTCTCAGAGCAACCAATTGATCCAAGTCTGGATCTCAAACCTCTACTTGTGAAGCTGAGTATTATCATGATTCTGTTGATTTTAAATTTTGTAGCATTTAAACTTCTTGCACGAGAATTTAAGATATTTGAGAACCAACATCAGCACCTCCAAACAAAGCAGTTAATACTAACACCAAGCAAGGAGTGAATCTCAGGGACTTCTTCTCTTCATCAAGAGCTTCTGGCCATGCACATCTCTCCTCTGAAATATCCTCAGATCATAGAAGAGTCTGACGAATCTTGCAGCTTCGATTCCGAACCCTATAGCTCTTTGACATCAGGAGCGAGAGTTCGAGGTTCCTCTGCCTTCATCCTCTCGGATGTTGCTTCCAAGGGAAAATAATAGATTTTAAATTTTATTTATTTTGGTTGATATTCAGTTTAAATATTATATTTCGGGGTTTTGGGGTTTTGGGGTTTTGGGGTTTTGGGGTTTTGGG